TATCCATCCCACACTCTTAATAAGACATTACAAATTTCAACATGGGCACTGTAAGAAAGTCGACAAGGCAAAATTAGATGCATATGAGGGCAAAATTAGCAAACAACTCCTCTTTCTTAGGCCTTTTTCTAGCTTGGTCCATGAAAACAACCACCATTCAACCTAAATTCTAAACTTCGTATGAAAACAAACCAGATCTAATTGAAAGACTGAGACAAGAAATCCCTTTTACTCATCAAAAGGTTAATCTCCAGGAGAGATGTGCAATTTATTGATATACACTACTATCCAGACATTAGCAGCTCCATAGATTCAAGCCTCCAACTTGGAGGTAATTGTTATGCATTTCAAGGGCATTGTCTCAAAAAAAAAAATAGTACTACAATAGTAACAGTAAAATAACAGACTTAATTGCAACTTCTTTTTTGAGAGAGGAAACTTATTACAAGTTATGTTATTATCTTATAAAATTGTAAATAAACCATCTCTTAGATCAGATGTCACATGTATTCTATTGCATAACCAATCAGAGACAAACCAAGCATCCCTTCTTAAAAGGAGGCTCATAATGGCTCCTATTAGAGTATAGAGTGTACTGTTAACTAATCTGGACGCTAGCAGCTTACACAGGATTTTACAGTGTCTATAATTCCTCTTGTAAGTGTGTTTGGGTCTGAGACCTTGTCGGTATTAACGTTTACTTTCTGTTTCAAATTATGTTGGTATTAATGTTTTAAGAAAAAACAACATATATATATATATACAACCGCATATATAAGAAAATTTTCTGCAATGATCTGGATGGCGTCTCTCGCTCTGCTAGATGTAAGGCAGGGCAACCTGTACTTGTTTTGAGATATTCTCAAATAGACATATGCCTCTAGTTTAAGCTTCAATCATATTACTTTCATCTGCCTTTACGTACTCATGTGAAAAGGTCTTACCTTGCTGCGTACTTCCAGCATATTCTAAAAAATAAAGATCTGTTTTTTATAACCCTGGTGTCCTGGCTCAACTTGCACACACCTCGACTAATTCGTGATTCCATGGTATATCTACAACCTCCCACCACCAGCAGGTACCAAATAGAACAGATGGAAAGAAATCAACAAATATTTTCCCTCAACTAAAATTTAAATATGGGACTTCATGGTGCTCAACCTACTTCATTAACCACCAGCCACAACCTTGGATTTAGCACCTATAAATCTCTATTCCTTGCTAAAATATTCACACGGTTTCACCTCCATAACATGTCAAGAACAAACTTGATCTTCCACCACTCTCCTTATATTGCACAACAACGAAAGTATTTATAGTTATATATACATAAACCAACAAAGGGTGTTCAAAATGCATCATTACTTCCTGCCAAGAAACTCTAAGCTACAATATACAGCACCTTTTTCCTATTTAGATTAACTGACACATACCTTACATAATTTCTCCTAGATAAAGTTGCAATTACTCCCAAAAAACAATAAGACAGACCAATACCACTAAACCCCAAAACATATTCGTCTACATCAATGGAAAAATCCAATCTTTTCATAAAACGAAGTAAATCTAAATGATTATTCACAATAATAAAAAAGGAAAAACTGAAAACAACGAGTAGAAGCACGAACCTTTTTCAATGACTCTGCCAGTAGCCCCAATGAAGAAAAAAGATAAACAGAAGGGAAAATCCTTTGCTTTTCGTTTGGATTGCGGATTTCTTAAAAGGAGAAAAACTTTGAAGCTTTGGATGAAGTTTATCGCTTTACAGGGGATTTGCTACGTCGGTTCGGATTTCGGGTTATACCAAGACCCGTTTTAGGGAGTTTGGTAGAAACGATCAAAAATTGATAATTCGAATCAACAGAAGTTATTAGTTTATCAGTAATAAATTATTGAATTAGCGATTATGGTAATGATTTTAATTTTTTTTTAGTTGTCGGATTAAGAAATCTTAGAGATTTAAGGTTTTTATTCTAATTACTAACTAGGTAGTTTGTCCTCGCTTGGTGACGTCATAAATAATAATTGTATTGAACTTATGAATAATTTTTTATAATACATTCATTAAAAATAATGGAGGAATAGGTTCTTAAAAGAAAATTAGCAATATTCCAATGTGAATTTATTTGACTATTTGTCATTATCATATTATTCAAAAACTTTTAATGAATGAATTATTTAGTAAATAATAAATCATTGGTTCTTTAATCAACATTGAAGGAAAATAAATAAGAAAATAAAAATATATATTTAAAGACAGTTTGCAAGAAAAAATAAACACATTTAAGTTGCATAGATTATAAAATTGTGATATATGTCAAAAAGATTCAAAAAAAAAATTGACATATTTTTTTGGGAAACTTATAGCAATAATTTTTTTTCACTTGATCACTTTTAATTCATTTATAATATAAGTTTAATATATATTACAACGATAAATTTATTATTCAAAAATAATATAAGTTTTATTGATGGATAATAGGTTTATCACACATTTTAATGCATTTATAATACAATGTGACAGTTTTTTACCAAACAAACATAATATATTTCAAAAACAATTATAATTTAAATATATTGCGTACATAATTCACTTTTAATACATATTAAAGATTTATCACAATATTGCTATAAATGGTAATAAACAAAAAGTATCACTAAAATCAGTAATTATTTTTAAAAATATATTAATTTATGTAATTTTTCCTATTTTTTAAAAAAATTACGCTTGAACATGAAAGCAATTATAATTTTTGAAAGGAACTTCTTCAATTAATAAGTGAGGAATTTCATATCTGTGTATAAATCGATAATATGTAAGCTTATAGGTGTGTTTGGTATGAAGGAAATGTTTTCCTAGAAAATGTTTTCCTGGAAAACAAGTAGATTTTGGACTTATTTTCTCATGTTTGATTAGTGAGCAGAAAATATATTTCGAAAATGATTTTTAGTGTTTGATTTATGAATGAAAAATATTTTTGAGGAATATCTTTTATTTTTACTAGAATACAAAATAATTTATGAAATTAAAAATATTTTTTAAAAACAAATTTTTTTGGGTGGTGATGATAGGGGGTGGAAGGTAGTTGGGGGGGGGGGGGGGCAAAGGGAGGGGAGTAGGAGTGAAAAAATAAAAATTTGAAGTTGATAGTATTTTTAAAAAATAAAATTAACTTTTTGGGGGGTTGGGGTGGGGTGGGGGGGCTGGTAGGGGTGGGTAGAGGTGCTGGCCGAGGGGCGAGATAGGAGCTTAAAAATAAAAATTTGGAGTTAAAAATATTTTTAAAAAGCAAAATTATTTTTTTGGGGAGGGGATGGTGTTGAGGAGGGGGAAGGGGGGAGGGTGGTCAGAGATCGGGTGAAAAAATAAAATTTTGAAATTGAAAATATTTTTTAAAAAATTGATGTTTTTTCTCAAAAAAATAATGTAATTTAAAATTGGAGGAGAGCTTTGGAAAATGTTTTTCTTAATTTTTGAAGGAAAGTCATTTTCCTTAATTTTGAGGAAAATGAGTTGATTTGGAGAACATTTTTCAAAACTTTTGCCCCAACCAAACATGAGAAAATTGAAAAATATTTTCCAGAAAATGTATGTTTTCCTTCATACCAAACACACTGTCTATATATAGTACTTTTAAGTTATATAATTTTATATAGAATATCAAAATATGAATTCTTGAAACTGAATACAATAATCATTATCTGCATAATGAACATACATACTATATGTATATATGTTCAATAAAATTGCAGACAATAATTTTGTAGAAACATAAATAAAAAAGTTCAAAACATGTACTAAAAAATAACAACTGATATCATAAGTATAAATTAAATGACTGTAAATAAACATATCAGAATATGTAAAAATATAATGAAACAAAAAGAAAAAAATCGAGTCTATTGAGTTCACTTATTCCTCCCTAATACATGAGGTTAAAAGAATTAGATTCTCTCAGGATAGACGATTTCATTCACCAACGTATTGATACAAAAACAATAGTGCCACAAGTCATTCAATAGAAGCAAAATACATATATATTTAATTGTGTAGAAGAAGAAGAAGAATAGGAGGTTCAAAATTTTTGTTGTTTTAAATTGAGAGAAAACTCCTCTATTTATAAACAATAAACGATAGTGTGAGCAAATATTTATTGTGCTTTATCATTACAACTATTTGGAAAATTGCAACCCTTAGAAAACTGTCTTTCATAAAAGTCATAATTTTTTTTTATAAAAATCGCAATTCTTCATTAAAGTCATAATTTTCCATCATAATAATAACTCTTCTCAAATTTCACAACTTTTTATAAAAGGAGAAGACTAATATTGTAAATAATGACTTGATTTTTTTTTATTTGTGATGGCGTCAAATAGATCGATTTAACATTCTCTTTTATATATGATATAATTATACATTGGGTATAATGAAGAGAAAAGACATAAAGACACCATCGAAGTTGTCCCATATTTGCATAAAGACACCTAAACTTCTGAAGTGTCCTATCACACCACTAAACAACTATATATCGTTGTAAATTGGTCATTTTTACCCATTAACTCATCTGGGTTGTTTACACGCACGTTAGGCGCGTTATGGGCCATTTTTCCTTTTTATTTACCAGTTTAAAACAACCACATGTCATTTTCTTTCTTTAATATTAATTATTTAATCAATTTTTGTATCTTCCCCAATTTAAACTCAAAAATAGTCGTTAGTAGCCCTAAAATTTTGATTTCCTGGCAAGAACAATATTGGTGCTCTCTTTTTGACAACTTGCATATCTTCCTCAAGAAAATAAGGTAGGAATTCGTCTTTTCTCTTTTAATTTCCAGTAGAAACGTTAATTTGAAGTTTTTTAATGGTTGAATTTCTTCTCAATTTTGTGGTTAGTTTTTGATTGAAAATGTCAAATGCAATGTTGAATCGTATTTGTAATGATGAGAATGATCTGAAGTTGCGAGTGAAACTGCGGTGCAAACATGGTGACTTACTATCAATGCAAACTTCATGGTTGGAGCATAACCCAGCTCGAAGATTTTGGTCTTGTCCACGCTATCGTGTATGTTTACTAATTTTTTTATTGAGATCTTTTGTTTATGTATTTTTCTTTAATTTGTGTTTTGCGTATTTTAGGAGGATGCGTGCAACTTCTTTAGATGGAGGGATCGAGAAGAAGTTGATATAAGATCCAAGCATGTTATTCCGAGATTAGCAAAGAGAATTAAGGAGTTGGAAGAAATATTGACATCTTATGAAAGTCGTGTTGAAAGTAACCAAGTCACGATGAAGGAGAAAAAGAAGGGCAAATGTTGTAACTTGAAGCTAATCGTCTTGATCATTATTGTGTGTTTTCTATGTTTAAGTCTAACCAAGAATGTGAAGGATGGAAGTTGTAGGTGTGTGCAACCAAAATTGCCATAAACATGTTTAGTTACTTTCAAATTTTTGAAATTATAGGTGTGTGTACCTAGAAGCTAATTGTCTTGATCTTGCTAGTTGTAGGTGTGTGTAACTTGAAAGATTGTTGAATGTTCAAGTTATTTTTGTTCTTTGTTGTCGAAATTATTATGATTTGAACAATTAGTTAATGTATTTGGTTCTCTAATCTATATTATCGTGGCAACCATTTGAGAAGCTTCACAAATATGTCAATTACAATTAAAAAGGCAATAACAAAACTGACAAAAAAGAAGACTTCATAATCGAGTTTGATTCCAACCATTCAAGTTTGTTTGGTTACACCAAAAATTGAGTTTGTTTCCAGTAAAAAAACAACATAAATATATGCATAGTTAAATTTTGTTTGTCAAAATGAACAAGACAACATCAAAATGCCCTACTTCCATGGCACAGAAGTTTTTCTACTTGAAGTTGTTTGGCCTTGGCTATTAGCAGCATTAGCAGCAACTACAGACCTAGTTTGGATAACCTTTTCAGCCCTCATTCTTTCTAGGTTGCTACTGGTAATAGTTGTCTTCCCCTTCCATTTGAATCCAGTACTGGTGTGTAACCAATATCACCAGTGACAACATCAGCCCTCTTTGTAACTTTTGTACCAGTATTGATGACTCTTCTACTTGGCAATCCAGGCTGCTTAGTCAAATAAATACACACTCAAATATTACACAATTAGGTTTGCAAACACAATTGTAAACTTGCATTGATAGTTGTAAACTTACATTGAGAGTTGTAAATCCATCTTTAGCTTGGTATATGCCAACACCTACCATTCTTGGCCTTTTAAAAGGTCTTGTTTGTCCTCCACTAGTGTCTTCATGTTCTACTGGTCTCTTCCTTCTTCCTAGGCCTCCTATACTGTAGTTTGCTTCTGAACTAGTTTGACTATGTTGAGTCATTCCTCTTCCTCTACTTAGTCCTTCATTCACATTTCTTTCTTGAGCCATTTCTCTTTCTGATCCTGTTCCTCTACCTGTACCTCTACCTCTACCTCTACCATTTACAGTCTGTACTTTGAAATCAAATATTAAAGCATATCTATATTATCTAACAATGATATAATAATTAGATATATTACCTCTGTGTTTGTAACATTTTCATGTGATTGAGCTGGAACACCTCCTGCCACTTGCTCTTCCTGTTGTTGCTCTTCCTCTTGTTGCTCTTCCTGTGCCTTTTCCTCTACCACTTTCAGTAGCTTGTATATCAATATATCAATATATATACATCTATATATAACATACATTTGAGAGTAACAAATAAAGTACCTGTGTATGAGAAGATGGTTCAGATGACTGACTTGGACCAGTACTTCTTGCCTGAGAAACTGGTTCAGTTGATTGACTTGGATCAGCTTGGTTTCTTGTAAGACATCATCTTTTATTGTGTCCTTGTGTGCCACATTTGCTACAAGTCATTACAGCACCTCTTTTGCTCAACTTTCCAGTTTTTCTGCTTTCATTTGCTTCCTTTATTTTAACCTTAACTGGTGTTTCAGGCAACTTTCTAATCTTTGGTGGCTTTACAATTGGATTATTTGAGGTTGACCACATTTTCATGTTATTCATTGGCTGAATAAAATGGGCATATGTGTTAAGGTAGGTTACCTTGCTATAACAGCCACATAATGGATTGGTTCCAAGTTTTTGTAATGAAGGGCAGCAACACCATGAGGACAAGGAATTCCCCTAAGCTGCCAGGATCTGCAACTACACCTCCTATTAGCAATGTCCACAGTGTGTGTAAACCCATGGTGTTTAATCTCAAAACCTCTTTCTCCATTCCAAATCAAGTTACATTGCATAGACTTTTGAATGTTTTCTTGCAAAATCTTCAAAGACATAGGAGATATATCAGTGATCCAAGTGTTTGAGAACTCTCTCAAATCACTAATTCTTTTCATCATCTTCACTCTTATCTCCTCGAGCATTGTAATGATGGTTTTATACCTTGCAGACACTATCCAAGCATTAAAGCTTTTTACCATATTGTTGTCCACAACATCACATTTGCTATATTCTTCAAAATACTTCTTGCACCATGTATTCAAATTGTACCATAAAAGATTATCTAAACCTTCTTGTCCTAACTTCCTCATTGTCTCTATATTGTCTTTCATCTTAACTTCAAATGTGGATTTAGCAATCCTCCAAAACACTCTTCTTCTTTCAACTCCTTTCCAATTTTTTGACCAATTTGTAAGAACATGTCTTGCACATTTTCTATGTTCAACAAGTGGCAATAAAGTATTCACAACAATTTTTAGTCCCTAACAAACCAACATAACAGAAAAAGAATCAATTAAAGTGCAAAACTCAACAACAATAAAATAGTAAGATGGATATGAGTAATTACCTTTTGCATATCACTAATGATGGATAGTTGATGCCCTTCTCCAAGTTCAAGATCATTCTTCACTAGTTCAAGAAACCATGTCCAGGTATACTGATTCTCAACCTCAACAACTGCCCAAGCAATAGGGAGCATTTTGTTGTTTCCAACTCTACAAACTGCCACTAACAACTGGCCTTTACACACACCTTTGAGAAAACACCCATCAAAACCAATCAACCTTCTAGCACCTCCAAAAAATGCTTTCTTTAAAGCATTGAAGCAAACATAAAATCCTTCAAAAATTTTCTACCCAGTTTTAAAATCTTCTCCAACCTTCACTACACAAGTACTACCTGGATTACTCCTTAATATTTCATCTCTATAATCAAAAATCCTACCATACTCCACAATGTGATCACCCATGATCTCTTGTAACACTCTAGTCCTAGCTCTTCTCACTGTTGTCCTACTAACATTAATATACAACTCCTTTCTAATAATGTCCTACAACAAGACAATGCTGATGTTTGGCTGTTGAGTTATTCTTTCTTTATATTTGGTGGCCAAAAACTTTGAGTTGCACAGGTATTTATGAGTTGATGTCAAACATTTATGGATAAGGTTGTATGTTTTAACAATGAAATCTCCACTAGTTTTATCCTTACTTGCACACACCAACCAAGGACAACTCTCTTTACAACATCTCACTCTAACTCTGCCAGGCTCATTTACATATTTTTCAATTTGAATATGTTCTTGGATTGCATATCTTGTCACTGCCACTCTAAATTCTTCAACAGTTCCAAAAACCAGTCCTAATTCCCAAACAATCTTTTCAGCAGTTGTATCAAACACAACTCTATTTGGGGTTTTCTTCCTCCTAACAGGTTTATGCACTACTTGATCAACCTCTTCACCATCTATTTCAAAGCTAGGAACTTCATCACTTAGATAATAAGGTTCATCACCTCCTAGCTTACCAACTAAGCTTTTCCTAATACCATTATTTGTCTCATCATACCCTATATCTGGACCTTTCTCATTAACATTAATCTGATCTGAAGTAGTTCCCCTACTTCTCCTTTGTGATCTTTTGAAATGCCTCTTGGTTGCCCTTATATCTACATACTCTTGATGAACATCACTGTCAACCTCAGTATTTTCACTAGTATCCCCTTCAGATCCTGATTCATCTTCCACTTCATCATCAGTTGGATCATCATCTATTATAGGATAATCAGATGAAGGAGGAGGCACAATAGAAGGAGATGGTGGAGGCACAGTAGAAGACTGAGCTTCAAATGGAGTGTTGGAAGTTTCAGAAGGACCAGTTGTAGGGATGGAAGGAAAAGTAGAAGTAGGAGGCTGATTATTAGGGTTAGAAGTCTCATTAAAAGATTCCTTACCTACCCCACTTTCAGTCACATGGGGGACAAACTCCAATTCAAGTGGGGCCTGATTAGCTTCACTAACCCCATGAAAAACATACACCTCCACTGTATCCCCATCATTCACCATATTGAAAAGGTCAAATATAACCTTATCATTATCAACAAGGACCAATAACCCATCCCACTTGATTAAAAAAAATCACAATCTATTGTATATCCTAGTTCCTTTATGTAGTCCCTCAACTCAAAATAAGACATCCTATCAACATCTACATCTAGGAATTCTGTCACATGCCCCCCAATATATTTAGGTGGTGGACCAAATTCTATTCCCCCCCCCCCCCCCATGATACCATCTTAAAGTTATAAGAATAAAAGCCATCCTGAAAAATCATGTAACAACAACAAACACAATTCAAACACACATTTCAATAACTAACTCTAACAAGTTGTACACAACAAACATAATCACTAACAAACAACAACAACAGAAACACTAACTAACAAAAGTAGAATAAAGCACTAACATTAAGCTTTAACAGTACTAACAGAACAAAAACACTAACAATAGCAGTTGTTAGTGTACAAATTGAAGTCTACAAATGTATAAGAGACAAATAATAAGATTCGAACTAAGTGGATAACATCTAGCCCTAACCTAAAACACAATCACAAAACCCTAATCACTAACAGTTGCACTAAGTCAATAACACAATACCCTACACTAACTAAGTCGATTACCCAACATACTCAAAAATATCCTAACAATGGCAATTGTAGGAGATCGATTCTAACACTTCTACACTATAATAATGCATAAAATCAGAATAATCGAAAAAAAGTGCAGATTTTAGAACCCTAACCTGTTAGACCTTCAATCTCCAAGAATCTTCACAAATACACATCAACAACGATCTATAATGATCAACAACGAGATTGTCAACAACAACACTATCGTCAACAAGAACACTGTGTATTTCGTTTGATTTTTTAGGGAAAAGTTGAGAAATGAAATGAAAAGAAGTTCACGAATTTTCTTCAAAAAAAAGGGTCGGGTCGGGTTACCTAGAGAGTGAGCAACACGCGCATTACATAGACGATGAAATGAGTAAAAATGACCAATTTACAATGATATATAGTTGTTTAGTGGTGTGATAGGACACTTTAAAAGTTTAGGTGTTTTATGCAAATATGACACAACTTCGATGCTGTCTTTATGTCTTTTCTCTATAATGAATAATAATTATATTTGCTGATCTAATTTTCGAGCAATTGTAAGGGGAAAAATGTATTGATAAGCTATTTTGCTAAATAGAAAATGTTTTTGTATTAAAAAAACACAAGATAAGACGAGTTTTTGAACAATAAACTGAATTAAAGTAAATAAACAAGATTATAAACAAAATAATAAATTTTTTCAAAAAAGAAACCAAAAATTAAGCAGCAGCGTCGCAAAACCTTAAAAACACATTGGAGAAAACTCCTAATTCTCAGCGCTGTCTTTACAGTACCCCTTTTTGCCCTTCTCTTCCGGCGAAACTCTCCGGCGTTCAAATCAGCAACAATGGCGACCGTCATGCAGAAAATCAAAGATATCGAAGATGAGGTATCAAAAATACACTTGATTTATTACTTTTTGTTTCATCGAAATACCAAAAAAAAAGGGGCAAAAATTCCTATTCAGATGTTTGGATGTTAGTCTAGAATGAAATTATCTTATCAATTCTGTCAACCACCATAGTAGTTTCATGCTTTCCGATACTTATTTCAGTCTTCAAAAAATTAACCTTTTAAAAAATGATTTTTTTGTGAATACTTCTATATGTAAACTCTGCTGAAGAATGAGTGCTTAGTTGAAGTTTTCCGAAGTAGTGTGTCTAGGTTTGTTGTATCTGTCTGAATAACTTAAATCGTTGACATGACATTGTCCCAACGTTATTACTTATTCTGAATTGAGAGGTGGGACGGGCAGAATGAGAAAATTGAACGGGAAACAGGTGTATGGTTTTTTCGAAAAACCCGCAGCCGCTATTTTTAGGTGTGCACGGGTAAAACTCCTGCTCCTATGCAATAGCTGCAGACCACATAGGAGAAACAGGTGTATACTTTTCTGTGATGGAATTTCAGAAATAAAGGAAAATGACAGGGAAATATCTCAGTTTGATTTCCTAATTTGATAATTATTAATACTAATAGCAAGGTTTGATTAAACTGATACAATTTAGTGTGACTTTTGCGTCTCATTCAATTCCAGTTTTCAGATGATTTTTCAAGTTGGTAGTTTATTATGTTGCATAAGCCGTAAAGCATAGTGGATGACTTCAAATGATAGATGATCAAGTTTCAGATGTGTGAAATCCGATAAGTTTGAAACCTTAGAAATAGATTGGAGACGTGCATGTCCACCTGTAGATGGCTCTAGCCTAACATATCTTCTGGCTCTAAATCCATTTCAGCTGTTGTTAGTGGGTTTCTTGACCGAATTAGCTTTTGCTTATTTTTTCATTATTATCAATACTTAAAACTTTGAACATGATGTGTAGACTTGATAGTTTCAATGTTAATGTATCTAAAGTCAAAGAAGAAAAAATCGTATAAATAGTTCAATTCAATTCTGCTTCTATGAATCTTTGTATTTGAATGTATATTGGAGCCTATTCTTTAAACTTTTTTGTTCAGTTTGTATTCACTCAATTATAATGTCCACAGAGATTTGTGTCTAGTGGTAGGAGTGTAGCATATTATCCGTGAGTTAGGCACATGTCACGAGTATAAACTCTACCACAGAATAAAGTCTGGTATATTTGTCGAGAAGGGTAAAAGGGGGTGGTGGTGTTATCTGCAAAGTTCTGAACCTTGCATCAGTGGCCTTTCAGGATTTAACGGCTACAAAATAATATGCCTCTAGTAGTATGACACCCTTTATTTCCATGCACTGAATAGGCATTACTGTTGACTAGAAAATGTAAATTTTTCTCTTTGATTGCAGATGGCTAAGACCCAAAAGAACAAAGCGACTGCTCATCATCTCGGTTTGTTAAAGGTAGCACATTCACAAGAATTTTCTTGCTTAATTTATGAGGTCACACAATTTATTCTGCCAGGTCATTGATATGCAATTGGGTTGCTTATGTTCTACAGTCGTATATTGTAGACAGTCTCACTCTAAATTTATATTTGGACTTTGGAGGTTGCTTTTTTTTAAAAAAAAAAATCACTGTCTGCTTTATAATCAAGAATCATAGCCATTGACAGTTGACTTTTTTTCACAATCAGGTTTATAATCAAGACTCTTAAGTCTTAACTATACACAAGACATAACCAACAACTGGCAAACCCTTTGTGACCAAACTATAATTTATTCTTTTGTTATCATGCTTTCTGGTACAATACTATAACAGTGATGCTAGTGAATGCCTTTCTGCTGTCCAAATGTAATGACAAGTTGAAATATAATGTCCCCAAAAATGCAACCCCCCCCCCCCCCCCCCCCAAAAAAAAAAAAAACAAGAAGAAGAAGAAAAACAATCCCCATGTTTG